CCAAACATCAAGATGTGATAGTGTTGCTTTTTATTCCATAATGTGTAAATCCAATACAAAGGTACTAATATCCTATATGTTGAACATGCTCTTACATGACAAATCCTTTCATCAACGGGCACTAGTACACTTCGTGTGCCCGTTGACAGAAGGATTTGTTATGTAAGAACATGTTCAACATATAGGATATTAAGAAGCAACACTATCACATCTTGATTATTGTGAGATTATAAGCGTTTTGTACATCATTACAGCTTCTATATTTTTGATTACTACTGCAGCGGCAGCAGCGCTCACCACACTGTGACTCACAGCGCAGATGAAAACCATGAGATGGGGGTGCTGGATCTTCTTTCCCGCACCCTGTCTGGTAGTGTCCCGTCCGGCGGCATGGGAATGGAGGATAGGGCTGACCAGCGAGGTCACGGGGTGAGGGCAGGGGTGGGACTCCAGCAGGCAGGCTCAGCTCTAGTAGGCAGGCTCAATGAGACCATGGCACAAAAAATTTAGTTTTTTAAGGGGTCCTGGGCTGGATGGGAAGTGGTGGGGCCTTGGTGTCAAGTTGAGGGGGCGGGCCCTGAGAGGCCCCACTGTAGCTACAGGCCTGGATTGTAGGTTCCAGCTGGGTCGGTCCCACTTCCCCTCTGTTCATGCTTTTTTATTCATGCATGCTATTCCCACTGTGTATAACAAAACGGTGAGATGGATGGAACCATGAGAAACAGGACAGGCATTGCAAACAAACAAAAAATGCAATCAAGGTGTTTCAGAAAAAAGATTGTACAAAAACAGAGAAAAGCCAGGACAGCAAGGTATATGCAACAGAGCTGTGAGGAAACAATAAAAAAAATGAGTAACAAAGCAAAATGAAACCAGAGCAGTAAGGTTTTCTTGAGGGTGTTGTTGTCTAAATAAGCTTTTACTACTGCATTGTCTTCTGTCTTTAATTAACTTTCTGGATTGTAGTATGTCGTGTTTTAGGCATCTTTTTGTTTGCATGGTTTTCTAATTCTGTAATCTTAGCCACCCCATAGCTAGACGATTTTTTGGGAGGGGGGCTTTGGATGGAGGAGGGGCAGGGGGAGAAAAAAGAATAGAAGCACCCAACAGCCAGGGGGTGTTTGGGGGGGGGGCTGGTGCACTCCTATCCCTCCCTCCTATGTATCTCCCCCTTTAAGTTGCTGTGTGTTGATATATGGAAAGTTCAGAGAAAAAAAATGGGGTAAAAATGTGGTGGGGAGGATGGTTCAGTGGGCACGAAACGAACTCTTTCATTCGCTAGTATAGATGGCTGATTCCTCCTGGCAGGTTCTCCCCCCACTCTGTCTCCTCCCCTCCCACCCGTGCATTCAAAAACTGAGACGGGGAATTGATCTGTGTATATACTATTCCTGAGTGAGCCGGAAAAGCAACCAGTTCAGTGTTCCAAAAAAGGAATCAAGGCAGCATTATCTCTTTCCTTATAGCACTGGTTTGTAAGGACGCTTTCTTCTGTGCAGTATGCTTAGAAATAATGCCAGATTTAGATCCCAAGGCACAGCAGGGAATGTTTTCTTGAAAGAGTTGTTTAGCAGAACGGAAGATTTGTATGGCAGAGCAGAGTCCTGTGGAAGCCTAGAGGGAGAGAAGAGATGCTAACCTGATAACCTTGGTCAGGGGGGGGGGGGGGATCCTGAAGTGCCCAGTTAGGAAGAGATTGCTGTGACTTCACTTGGCCTCATTTCTGCTGAGTCCCCCAGGCATGCGCAGAAGAGGGTGGGGGCTGCAAACAGGAAATCAGCTGGTCTCCTTTCCACACCCTGTGCCTCTCTAGCAACCAGCGCTGTCCGTTTAACCCTTTCAGTGCAGGTTGACAGAGCTGCTCTGGGGTAACTTGGCACAGGGTGGCGCTCCCGTGGGGGTGTTGAAAATTTGAGAGGGGCATTGCCCCGCATGCCCCACACTAGCTAAAGCCCTGAATCCTAGTCCTGTTGTATTGTTTATTGGATGTCCTATGCTGGCTATTCAAATGTTTTAAATGTTTTGTAGTCTACCTTGACCCTCAGTGACAAAGGTGAGGTATAAATAAAATACATAGGAAATCTTGTTTGTGTATTCTCTTACAGACTTGTGAGGAGGCGAATGATAGGTTTAGATTTTTGAACACATGAAGCTGTGTTTTACTGGGTCAGACCATTTGTCTGCCAAGATCATTATTGTCTGCTCCGGCTGGCAGTGGCTCTCTAGGGTCTTGAGTCTTTCACATCACCTGTTACCTGATGGGGTTTTTTTAAGCTGGGTATGCTGGGGATGAACCTGGGACCTACTGCATGCAAAGCAGATGCTTTCTCACTGAGGGACCCCCCCCCCATTTATGCCAAATAGAGAAAAGAAATCTCTCTGTGGAATCGTGTTGTATGACTTTAACCTCCAACACTCAGCTTGGTTTAAAAAGCTGTGTTCCAAGCAGTGCTCAGATTGATTGAAATCCCTATTTTTCAGTTTCAATTTAGAGATAATATTCATCCACTTTTTCTTGTCTGTGTTGTTAAGTGTACAGTTTCTGTTTTTTCTCCCCAGAGGGTGACAGCATTTACAGAGATGATTGAAGCCATCCTCCTTTTTTTCTAAGCTGATTTCCCCCCCAGCGTTTTGCAATCTTTCTTCATGACAAGTTCCTAGAAGCTGATGGAGTACATTCCCACATTAAATAAAAAATATTTTGTTAAAATATTCTAACACTAGCATCCTTTTTAAAAAGAACTAATTAGTATTCTTTTTGAGTATCGTAAGTCAAAAAGAGGAGGTACATTAGATTTCATGGTTCATCCTCATGCTGCATCTGTGTCCTTGTCAGAATAGTGTTACTTCAGGTTATTGCTAGTATTTTTAAGTTTTTCTTTTGTTCTTTTCCCTATTAACGATTCCCCTCCCTTTCTCATAGAAATATCTAGCCATTGGCCAGCTGGGAAAGGCAACTAACACGTTTGATTCTTCAGGAAAAGTGACAGAAGAAAAACCTTACCGTAAGCATCAATCTAATTAATCTTTTTGTAAATAAATATTTGACTGCCATGCTTTGTTTGGAACTTACTGAAGTAAAGATGGTGTCAAAATCAGATTCCTAGTTTAGTTTGGAAGTGATATCACATCAATTTGACCAGTTAAGCTGTATTGATCTTGGAAATGGGAGAAGTAGTTTCTCATTTACAAATTCATATAAGCCCCCCAGATTCCTAGATACCAAGCCCAGCATCATAATTGGTCTTCAGATGATTAAGAAACTGTTATCAAGGTGGACAGCATAAATGGATAGTCCATAAGATGGCATCCCTGTCCTGGATATTAGTGATGGCTTGTGAAGAGATACTCATAAGGGAATGGGAGGCTTCTTGCCTGCTGGCATACACAGACATCATTCACTGTGGCGTATTGTACTATGACTAATGGTGTATTTTCCCCCTTCCTTGCATGCACGCAGGAGATGATATCACTTACTGATTATGAGATTCAGAACACTAACAGGAATGTCCCTGGTTCTTTCTCCATCCTTTAAGCGATTATTTTCTCTGTGGATTCTGTCCCATCAGACTTTTCGAAGTTTCAGACCAACAACTAAATAAACCTATCTGAAAACTGGAAGAGTCCTTTGAATAGTTAAAATGCTTTGTGGCTTGCCTTGCTTCTGCAAGATGCATATCTTCTGTGCTTTTCAGAAGTAATGTGCAGCTAATTGGGAGGGGAACTTAGGATACTACTTGCATTAATTCCTTCACTACTTAAAAGAAGAGAGCTATAGATAGCTTGTATCCTAGCAACTGCTATACAATCCTCTGTATTTATAACACCCAGTAACAGGTAGCAGCGATAAATTACCTTCTGTTACCTTGTGGTGATAAAGAAGATCTCTGTGGATTTTTCTTTTCTCCCGTCCCCCCCCCTTCACATTTTGTCTCTATTTTGGATTGCCCCTCAAGACGGTATTGTTAATGCTCTTATAGCTTATATCATCTTATTCTCTTTAGTGCTCAAAAATCCAGCTCAATTTTGATTCAGTTTCAGTGCTGTCAGGTAGCTAATCTTTCTGTCTGTGTTTGTTATCAGGGTTGCCAGAGAAGATGCTTAGGCACAAAGTCACCTGTGCATTCATTAATGGAAAGTAGCAACACTCAGACTGTTAAACGCTCTTGTTATGAATAGTTGTTGAAGCTAACCAACAGACGCCACATTATTTTGTACTTTACTGAGCAGCAGGGTAGGCAAGTCCTTACATTCCCACTAAAGCTGAAGCTTCTTATGTAGATATACTTAGTATAATTTATTCGTTTTATAACCAGCACAAATCTCTATATCAAAGCCACAGTAATATTATAGATGCCACTTGTGTAGATATACATAGAGGGCTGTTTTCATGCAAGCTGGATATCCAACGTGAAAGTGACCTTTATATAGGAAATGGTGTCTTGTTAGTGTTGCCAGGTGGACTGTTTGCTCCAGTGGGAGCAAAAAATGGAGGGGGACGGTGACTTCCCTTTCTGTTGTATCTGGAAGTGATATCACAGTGTTCAAAGAATTCCCTTTATGGTGTTTTCATATTTGGAGATTTTGGAGAACATTGTGATGTCACTTGCTACCCCCTATTTTTGATGCCACTGGAACACAGAGCAGCAGATGAGGATCCTTCCCAGTGCCAGGAAATTGACATGTGAAGTGGCCCTTAGAATAGGTGTGTCAGAACAAAAACTCCATTTGGACAAGAGTGATCTCAAATGGCAACTTGCCAAACATTTGTTAAAGAATAATGCCTGTCGGGGACATTAAATGGAAAATAAATAATTGTTCTAAGAATAGGCATGGAAACCTTACTACCAGACTTAAAGTATGTATTCAGCTTAAGTAAGGTTCCTGAACCAAAGTGAATATGTATGTGATAGTGACATGTGACACACACACCCCATGTGCAGATGCAACATCAACGCTAAACAGATTTTTCTGCAAACTTGGAGGACTCCCCAGGTTTGCAGAAAAATCTTGTGTAAGGATGCCCCAAGGTCAGGAGCCAGCATTGTTGGTGGTGATGGGGGGCATGAAGTGTTGGCGGGCCATTGTAGGGGGGTGTTTGCTTGGCTCTCGGCCTCCAAGGACTGTGTCGTAGAGAGGTTGAAGCATTGGAGATCAGGAGCTGTGAAGCTCTCAACCTCTGAGGCTTAGAGGTTGGGAGCTGCATGGGTCTTGCACTCTGAGGCTGGAGGGTGGAAGAAGCTTCAAAGACCAGGAGCTGTGCAGCTCTTAACTTCCAAGACCATTGTTGGGGGGAAGGCTTGGCGGTCAGGAGCTGCATGGCTCTTCATCTCTGAGGCCAGTGTTGGTGGTGGAAGGGGAGAAGCCTTGGGAGTTGGGAGCTGTGTGGCTCTTGGCATCCGATTCCGGGGCACGGCAGGAACAGCAGAAATAGAGATGGGAGTAGGTTGACAGAGACAGGAAGGGGAAGATTGATGGAGAAAGGGTTGGGGGCAAAAGAGGGGGAGATTGTCAGAGAAGGGGAGGGGGAGAAATAGAGAGAGGGAAGTAACAGAGAAGGAAAGTATATCAAGTTGGGCAACCGTGTTGGTCTGAACCAACTGAACAAAGTTAGAGTCCAGTGGCACCTTTAAGAACAACAACTTTTTATTCAGGTTGTGAGCTTGGGTCTGAGCGAAGGCTTCAAAAGCCTTGAAGACTATTGGTTGTGTTGCCAGCAATGGCCAATCATGTTTTGTTGCTTATTACCCAAACGCTGCACTGTTAATAACCTTGTATATAGTTCATGCAGCTGAAGGATTCTAGCTGCCTACTTGGTATTGGTTGTTGTTTAAGGTAGGTGTGGTTTTTACAAGTATAAATTGGTTCATGTTGAGCCTGTGTCTTTGGTTTGGAAGTTCAATAAAGAAGCATGTTATTATGAAAAGAGCTGCATCATCTCAATACTTAATATAAAGGGGGAAGAAAGAGAGGTGGGGAAGGCTGACAGAAGGGGGGGTGAGAAAGAGAGGGAATATTGTTCAAGAAGTGGGGAGGGGGAAGTAAACAAAGGGGGGGATGGGATGCACTTTCCCTGCATATTTCTTATACTTAGTCCTAACAAGAGGTTGCTTTTCTGAATCTCTTTTGGCTTTCTTAGTCTTTTCCTAATTTTGTACAGTTAGTGTGAGCTCCTTGATCATTCTCCGTGTCAAAACAGTTCTTACCTTGTTAGTGGATTCTGCAATTAATTCAATCTGTCAGCATGTTTGCAGATTCAGTTTAGCTGTCCATGGTAAAGGTAAAGGTTCCCTTGCTCGAAAGCCAGTCAAATCCGACTCTAGGGTTGCGGTGCTCATCTCCGTTTCAAAGCCGAAGAGCCAGCGCTGTCCGAAGATGTTTCTGTGGTCATGTGGCCAGCATGACTAAACACCAAGGTGCATGGAACGCTGTTACCTTCCCACCGAAGTGGTACCTATTTATCTACTTGCAATTTCTTGCTTTCGAACTGCTAGGTTGGCAGGAGCTGGAACTAGAGACAGGAGCTCACCCTGTCTTGCGGCACCCGGGTCTTGAACTGCTGAACTACTGACCTTCCACAGCCTGCAGTTCAGCGTCTTAAGCACTTGAACCACTGCAGCTCCATGGTAAAGAGCTATTTAAATTGTGCTTTGTTGTTCATAGTGAAAATGCTGATGTACTCCTATGACCAGGTTTGTGTCACAGTGGTGATGTAGTTAAGCATCTAAAATGCTAAAAGATTTCAGAGGGATACACATAAACGTATTTGGGCTCTGATTTACGAAAACTTACACTATAACAAAAAAGTTAGGTTTTTAGATGGTCCTTGTGAGTGGGGCCGTCCTCACTGATAGGCAGGCTCTTCCTCTTCAGAAGCAGGGTCGATTGGCAGAATTCAATCCCAGAGGGGAGGGGCTGCCTTCTATAACCTATTAAAGGCAGATTAGCGACAGTATCTACAGTCAAAGCCAACCACCCAATTTTCTCAAAATTTTACTCTTTGGTTCCAGAGGCAGCTAAAAGGGTTAAGCTACCACTGGTAGATGACTCTGTGACTAGCTCAGCATCCACTTCTGTGTTGCGCATGGATGCAGATCGTCTCCCCAAAGATCCATGCAACAAGAGGATAGAACAAGCCCTACGTTGGGGTTTTGAAGCCTCAGCAAACACTCTGAAAGCCTCAACAACAGGATCCCTGTTCACAAGAGCAGCAATCCCATGGACCTCAGGCCTAGCGGCAGCAGAAATTTTTTTTATTTTATTTTATTATCAGATTTATACCCCGCCCTCCCCACAAAGCGGGCTCAGTTAGCTACCAAAGGACCTCAAAGACAAAATCAAGAAGATTGCCTTGGTGGCAGCCTTTTGCATCTGATGCATCTCTAGATGCCTTACAGATGTCGGCCAGGGCAATGTCCCTTAGTGTAGCTGCTAGACAGAACACATGGCTTAGAGGCTGGGACATGAACCCTGCAGCCCAGACCAAAGTGGCAGCAGTACCCTTTAAGGGTATCAATCTTCTTCCTTCTATGACAAATCTTCTTCCTTCCACAAGACCAACCAGTCATCAAAAGGATCCAAGAAGGGGTCATCAGCATGACTATCTCATGCTACAGGTCACTTCAGGAATGGGGAAGGGGTGTCTCCAGAGGTTGTAAGTCTCTGGCAACACACTGTCCAAGACCAATGGGTGCTGAAGACCTTTCAATAAGAGCATACCTTCTCTCCCAGGGGTCGATAGTTACAAATGGATATTCCTTGGAGTTCAAACACATTCCCCTGGGACATTTCCTGCAGATTCCAAAGAATCAGTCCAAACAAAGACACCAACTACTGAAGATTGCCATCCAACATCTACTAGACATTGGGGCCATAGATCCTGTGCCAGATGGTCAACAGGCTTAGGGGATTTACTCAATTTTTTTTTTTTACAGTGCCAAAAAAGAATAGGGATCAGGGTGATCCTGGATCTAAAATGGTTGAACAGATGGATCAGAAAAAAAAA